AGATTCTTTCTCGTAATAATGAGATCTTTATTCGTAATTACAAGATAATTATCTTGTAATTACGAGATAGTGGGGTGTAATTTTTTATTTGCTTGATACTCAAAGGCTTTCGTACTTAGGTTATCTATAACAATCGTTTTCTATATATAAATTACTTGCACGTATTTTCGAAATAATGAACTAATCATTCTTTACATCATACGGGTATATGCTGTCTAGTCGACCCTTCCTCCTTCCGTATACATTTTTCTATGAAGAAACTTTATTCAGGTATTTAAAAAAAATATTAAAAAAAATAAATAGGGACACATTTTGTTAAAATAATACTGTCCTTCCCATTAATTTCTTTCTTAGACTCTATCCTCCTTCCCTGTTCTCAGACACAGACTCCAGTCCTAATATAAATGGTGACGCCCTCTCTCCCCCAACACACTTTCTTAGATTATTTTTAGACATGATAAAACATCAAATACAAATTTCCTCGCACATAAAACCTAGATTATGTTTCCCATTTTTGTTCAGTTTTAAGAGATTCCTTCTCTATCACTACAGAAATACTCTAATCTGAACAACAATGGAAAATGAAATCGTATCACAAATTCGTGTATTTTTGGTAATTATCTTGTTGAAAAGAAATCTTTCCAAGGTGTGTGTGTGTGTGGAGGGGGGGATTCATAACATGAACTCATCTGAATCTACACTACAGTGTTCATAGGATGTGTTCCCAGCTGTTTGACTGAAATCATCAAAATTTACAGTACAGTCAGTACACATATGCTTTCATGCCAATGTGAGTTAGTGTTTCCATGCTTTACTTCAGAGGACTTACATTATTTTTCCTAAACATCCCTTCGAAAAAGAAGCCCCCTCCCCCACATTCCTTGGCCTCCTCCACCTAGCCCAAAATTCCCCCCCCCCCCCCCAGCCCTTCACCTCCTCCATGAAGCCCCAACAGAACCTTGTGTATCATGCTTTGAACAAACTTGAATCTGCACTTAAATTATGGTTTCAAATCATGTTTGACTTCTTTAGAACAGTGGTTTTCAAGATTTTTAAAATTGTTCTTCTAGCCTTAACAAAATTTCAGTATCTACGATTACCTTGACCTTTGTATTATGACCTTAAGTCAAGGTTATAACAAACCATTTAAGGAAGAGCAGGAACGATCAAGTTGGATGTCAACTAAGTATCTTACTCCTACCTTCATTCTCACAGGAATGAAAACCTGGCAACTGTAGGTAGAATATCTCTTTATTGTGGATAACTTCACACCTCATACCAAGGTAAGACTGTCGTACATACATGTACAATTTTATACACCAATAACAAATTACAATAAATCTCTCCAACAATTACTATGATTTTATGTTTAACAAAAGCTTACAAGCTAAATAAATATTTCATTACATACAATATGCATGTTTTCAATAGTATTATTTTCAAAATGCAGTTTTTTTTTTTAACTTTCACAAAATAAAATCATTGACACAAATAACATACTGAAATTTAGCTAAGCAATAAATAAACGACTGTCAGTTACCATATATGACATCATATTTTTAAAATGCTGAAAGAGTATTGCCAAAAAAATACAAACAAACAAACAAAAAAAAATGCAGTAAATAAATATAACTACTCCTTCATTAGACACTCAAAGAACACTCTGAAAATAATCCTAAAAACTTGAACTTAGGGAAAATGACAGTTTTGATAAATAAAAATATAGGGAATCCCTGAAATATGAAATGTTTAACAACAAATGTTTATGACTGACAAAATGGGCAAATCAGCAACTATTTTTCATTTTTGTGTTTGTTTTTTTGTTTTTGACAAAGATGGGTCACAACCTCTACAATGTGACACATCAATCAGTGTCATTTTAAGATACCATAATTTGTTGTGCACACATTTTCTTCTTGAATACCATTCAGTACGAACTACATGTATATTATATTCTCTTGATAGACTGTACTTATAAAATTACGTATAAATTAAACTTTTTTGGAAATGATTATAGATCATACAAGATGTATACATAATACAGAAATAAAAATTTGTTCTTTCTTCTCTTTGTAATTTGTTAACTTATCAACATGTAGATAATGATATTAAGCATGTACAAACCATCATTTATATGTACAATGTACTATAAAAATGTACAATGCAAAATGGCCAGAAATATATTTCTTTATAAAATTTTCTGAATAAATAAAACCTATACATTAAGAACTTCAGACAGACAAAAATACATGTAAACTGTTACATGTTCCAGCCATTTTAAGAGCCTTACACACTGAATATAACTAAAATGTTTAGTTAATGAGATAACAATGCTCTGACCTAGTTTTATCAATATCACAACAGTATGACAAACTGATAGTAAATGAATCCAGGGAACCCTTGTGTTCACTCCAGAATGTGAAATATGAGCTCTAAGACCACTGATCCTCCTCGACAGAGAGGGACCGCACTGTGAATGACAGGAATTAACTCGTTGTCAAGGTCATTCATATAAATGTCCGGTAATTTTTCTCCATTGGCTCCAATGTCATATCCCACCTAAATAATGAAAAAAAATTGAAAAATTACAAGTTTACAGTTCTAAAATAATTTATAAACTAGAAATATGTCCATAGGATATGAATGCCCCGCCGAGGGTATATTAGTAATGCAACATTTTAACACAAATTGAGAAAAGTGAGGTCAAGGTCAAAGGAAAGGTAAAGGTCAAAAAACATTGATGCAGTTGAATAGCTCTCATCGGTATGTATCAGCATATGAAGTTTGACACTAATTTAAGAAAAGTGAGGTCAAGGTCAGAGGAAAGGTCAAGGTCAAAAAATGTTGATGCAGTTGAAAAGGTTACATCAGTATGTATAAGCATATGAAGTTTGATGAAAATATTATGAATGGTTTCTTTAAAAATGAGCTAAACACTAATTTAAGAAAAGTGAGGTCAAGGTCAAAGGAAAGGTCAAGGTCAAAATATATTGATGCAGTTGAATAGCTCTTATCGGTATGTATCAGCATATGAAGTTTGACACTAAACGAACAGTTCATAGTATTTCCTGCGTTGAGAAAAATTTAGAATTTTATTTATATGGTCATTGTTATCTAAAGCATTAATGAAGTCTTTAGATAACAATGACCATATAAATAAAATTCTAAATTTTTCTCAACGCAGGAAATACTATGAACTGTTCGTTTTTGAAAGTGATGGGAGAGAAGGGAGGACAGCAAGAGAAATAATTAACCTCATCAGGAAAATATTTGACAAGAAAAAAAGAGGAAAACTGGAAAATTATCCATGCTAAAAAAAAATGCATCGAGAGGGGGGTGTTAAATTTTTTGGAGAATTTTTCTAATACATCAATATGGGAAGTTTTCACTTACTTCAACACAAAATGGGTGGGGAGGGGGGGGGAAGTTTCTTTCAATGAACATTGTCATACTAAATAAACAACAAATGATAAGGTTCGGAACTAAGGGGATGGACTTTCTTTCCCACTCCTCCCGATTCTAAAAAAAAACCCCAGACATATTCGTAATCTATTTACATTATTCTTTAATTTCTGAATATAATTTCTTTGTTTTGGATTACCGAAGGATAGTAAAATTGAATAAATTATTCAGTTGGTACATTTTCCCGTTTACCAAACTAAACGCATCTAAGACCACTCATAGATTGTGCAACTTGGTTATATATCTCGTAATCACGAGATAATTGACGCGTTATTACGAGAAGAGACCTCGTAATAACGAGATTCTTTCTCGTAATAATGAGATCTTTATTCGTAATTACAAGATAATTATCTTGTAATTACGAGATAGTGGGGTGTAATTTTTTATTTGCTTGATACTCAAAGGCTTTCGTACTTAGGTTATCTATAACAATCGTTTTCTATATATAAATTACTTGCACGTATTTTCGAAATAATGAACTAATCATTCTTTACATCATACGGGTATATGCTGTCTAGTCGACCCTTCCTCCTTCCGTATACATTTTTCTATGAAGAAACTTTATTCAGGTATTTAAAAAAAATATTAAAAAAAATAAATAGGGACACATTTTGTTAAAATAATACTGTCCTTCCCATTAATTTCTTTCTTAGACTCTATCCTCCTTCCCTGTTCTCAGACACAGACTCCAGTCCTAATATAAATGGTGACGCCCTCTCTCCCCCAACACACTTTCTTAGATTATTTTTAGACATGATAAAACATCAAATACAAATTTCCTCGCACATAAAACCTAGATTATGTTTCCCATTTTTGTTCAGTTTTAAGAGATTCCTTCTCTATCACTACAGAAATACTCTAATCTGAACAACAATGGAAAATGAAATCGTATCACAAATTCGTGTATTTTTGGTAATTATCTTGTTGAAAAGAAATCTTTCCAAGGTGTGTGTGTGTGTGGAGGGGGGGATTCATAACATGAACTCATCTGAATCTACACTACAGTGTTCATAGGATGTGTTCCCAGCTGTTTGACTGAAATCATCAAAATTTACAGTACAGTCAGTACACATATGCTTTCATGCCAATGTGAGTTAGTGTTTCCATGCTTTACTTCAGAGGACTTACATTATTTTTCCTAAACATCCCTTCGAAAAAGAAGCCCCCTCCCCCACATTCCTTGGCCTCCTCCACCTAGCCCAAAATTCCCCCCCCCCCCCCCCCCCCCAGCCCTTCACCTCCTCCATGAAGCCCCAACAGAACCTTGTGTATCATGCTTTGAACAAACTTGAATCTGCACTTAAATTATGGTTTCAAATCATGTTTGACTTCTTTAGAACAGTGGTTTTCAAGATTTTTAAAATTGTTCTTCTAGCCTTAACAAAATTTCAGTATCTACGATTACCTTGACCTTTGTATTATGACCTTAAGTCAAGGTTATAACAAACCATTTAAGGAAGAGCAGGAACGATCAAGTTGGATGTCAACTAAGTATCTTACTCCTACCTTCATTCTCACAGGAATGAAAACCTGGCAACTGTAGGTAGAATATCTCTTTATTGTGGATAACTTCACACCTCATACCAAGGTAAGACTGTCGTACATACATGTACAATTTTATACACCAATAACAAATTACAATAAATCTCTCCAACAATTACTATGATTTTATGTTTAACAAAAGCTTACAAGCTAAATAAATATTTCATTACATACAATATGCATGTTTTCAATAGTATTATTTTCAAAATGCAGTTTTTTTTTTTAACTTTCACAAAATAAAATCATTGACACAAATAACATACTGAAATTTAGCTAAGCAATAAATAAACGACTGTCAGTTACCATATATGACATCATATTTTTAAAATGCTGAAAGAGTATTGCCAAAAAAATACAAACAAACAAACAAAAAAAAATGCAGCAAATAAATATAACTACTCCTTCATTAGACACTCAAAGAACACTCTGAAAATAATCCTAAAAACTTGAACTTAGGGAAAATGACAGTTTTGATAAATAAAAATATAGGGAATCCCTGAAATATGAAATGTTTAACAACAAATGTTTATGACTGACAAAATGGGCAAATCAGCAACTATTTTTCATTTTTGTGTTTGTTTTTTTGTTTTTGACAAAGATGGGTCACAACCTCTACAATGTGACACATCAATCAGTGTCATTTTAAGATACCATAATTTGTTGTGCACACATTTTCTTCTTGAATACCATTCAGTACGAACTACATGTATATTATATTCTCTTGATAGACTGTACTTATAAAATTACGTATAAATTAAACTTTTTTGGAAATGATTATAGATCATACAAGATGTATACATAATACAGAAATAAAAATTTGTTCTTTCTTCTCTTTGTAATTTGTTAACTTATCAACATGTAGATAATGATATTAAGCATGTACAAACCATCATTTATATGTACAATGTACTATAAAAATGTACAATGCAAAATGGCCAGAAATATATTTCTTTATAAAATTTTCTGAATAAATAAAACCTATACATTAAGAACTTCAGACAGACAAAAATACATGTAAACTGTTACATGTTCCAGCCATTTTAAGAGCCTTACACACTGAATATAACTAAAATGTTTAGTTAATGAGATAACAATGCTCTGACCTAGTTTTATCAATATCACAACAGTATGACAAACTGATAGTAAATGAATCCAGGGAACCCTTGTGTTCACTCCAGAATGTGAAATATGAGCTCTAAGACCACTGATCCTCCTCGACAGAGAGGGACCGCACTGTGAATGACAGGAATTAACTCGTTGTCAAGGTCATTCATATAAATGTCCGGTAATTTTTCTCCATTGGCTCCAATGTCATATCCCACCTAAATAATGAAAAAAAATTGAAAAATTACAAGTTTACAGTTCTAAAATAATTTATAAACTAGAAATATGTCCATAGGATATGAATGCCCCGCCGAGGGTATATTAGTAATGCAACATTTTAACACAAATTGAGAAAAGTGAGGTCAAGGTCAAAGGAAAGGTAAAGGTCAAAAAACATTGATGCAGTTGAATAGCTCTCATCGGTATGTATCAGCATATGAAGTTTGACACTAATTTAAGAAAAGTGAGGTCAAGGTCAGAGGAAAGGTCAAGGTCAAAAAATGTTGATGCAGTTGAAAAGGTTACATCAGTATGTATAAGCATATGAAGTTTGATGAAAATATTATGAATGGTTTCTTTAAAAATGAGCTAAACACTAATTTAAGAAAAGTGAGGTCAAGGTCAAAGGAAAGGTCAAGGTCAAAATATATTGATGCAGTTGAATAGCTCTTATCGGTATGTATCAGCATATGAAGTTTGACACTAATTTAAGAAAAGTGAGGTCAAGGTCAGAGGAAAGGTCAAGGTCAAAAAATGTTGATGCAGTTGAAAAGGTTACATCAGTATGTATCAGGATATGAAGTTTGTTAAAAATATCTGGAATGGTTTCATTAAAACTGAGCTTAACACTTATTTAAGGAAAGTGAGGTCAAGGTCAAAAGAAAGGTCAAGGTCAAAAAATGTTGATGCAATTGAATAGCATACATCAGTATGTATCAACATATGAAGTTTGATTACACTATCTTGAATGGTATCTTTAAAACTGAGCTAAACACCAATTTAAGAAAAGTGAGGTCAAGGTCAAAAGTAAGGTCAAGGTCAAAAAATGTTGATGCAGTTGAATAGCTTACATCAGTATGTATCAACATATGAAGTTTGATTACACTTTCTTGAATGGTATCTTTAAAACTGAGCTAAACACTAATTTAAGAAAAGTGAGGTCAAGGTCAAAAGAAAGGTCAAGGTCAAAAAATGTTGATGCAGTTGAATAGCTTATGTCAGTAGGTATCAACATATGAAGTTTCATTACACTATCTTGAATGGTATCTTTAAAACTGAGCTAAACACTAATTTAAGAAAAGTGAGGTAAAGGTCAAAGGAAAGGTCAAGGTCAAAAAATGTTGATGCAGTTGCATAGCCCTCATCAATATCTATCAGCATATGAAGTTTGATAAAAATATCTTGGATAGTTTCTTTGAAACTGAGCTTTGAACAGAGCTAAACGCAAAGTGTGACGGAAGGACAGACGGAAGGACGGAAGGACGGAAGACAGACATGACAAACACTATATGCCCCGGCCATATTCATGGCGGGGCATAAAGAACTCATGAAAGTGATTTTTTTTAAAAATATACCAGTATACAAATGAGTGATATTTCACAAAATACTGCTTTCTTCTAATACCAGTAGTTCGTAATTATGTATAAAGCATTTCTAGATATTCCTATGTATAACATTTCTAGATGGCGTTAAAAGAAAAGTTAACGCAAGCACTGGAACTGTGAAAATTTAATTAAAACATAATTCTAGTTCAGCTAATTGGACAACAGTGTACCTTATCGGATTCCAGTGACACACGGAGTCCCAGCTTAACAAGGCCTGCCTCTTTTAACTGGTCCAGACGTGGGGTGAGAGCAATACATGCAGCACTGGCCAGTGTCTCTGCCATATGACTGACATCCACTGGTTCACGAGATCCACCATCTTTGTTCTCAATGAAGAAGACATCTGTCCATCTGATGACACGATGTTCCCCAGCGTAGTCCGTGGCATGGGGAATATGGACACTGGTGATGCCGTCCATTGGCATACCATCTATGGGACTCTTTACTCTATTTACAAATTAAACCATTTACGAATTCTCCTTCTTTCATGGAATATAAAGGATATTTTCATTTAATACCATAATGGATGTGAGAAGAACAATCTATATTACAGAGGACAATATGAAAGCATTTCATTTGAGATTTTACCAGATATGAACCTTCCTTGTTCTCTACATACCCAAGATTGATGTGTTTGTCCTCTCTGACCCACTGAATGAGGACCACTTCCTCTGGAGACTGTGAGGACAGAGGACCACACCCAATAGTAAACTCCTTCATGTCCTTAATGGACTGTTTAAGTGCCGCCATTGACTCAGGGGTAATCTGAACCATTAGTCCATCCTCCACGATGCTGGACTTGGCTCTCAGTCCAGAGCTGGGTTTCAGGGCTCCATTGAAGACAACAAAACTGGCTCCTGTCACTGAAAGGCAAGGGAAATAACTTATACAAGAGCAAGAACAGTTGAACAATGAGAGGATGAAGACCTTTAAAAAACAACTCAACTCATGTAAAAGGAAGGCTAAAATCATGTGTGCAAGAAGAGCTTTTACATAATTCCAAAATGTGCCCTTCAAATACCAGACTATTTTCATTTTCTATGGAGGTAGATGTTTCTTTGACCTTGACCTGTTAATATGAAGCCTAAACCTTGAATATGATATTAGATTACATCTGTTTCTCATATATATTTCAAAATATATAGCAAAGACTATAGTTGTTGACAGACACACAGATGAATAGCATAATACACCAAAAAACAATTAATTTTTGCTTGGTAAGAGTAAAAATCATTTTGTGTATACGATATTTATTTAGTGACTTGTTTATCCAATATAGAACTCTGTTTAGAATTCTTGTTAATTTCAAGTTTACATGTGAACCTTCACGTTTACATTGCAGATGCACTATAATTTTGATTTTAATCCTGGATAAGAGCTCTCGTTTTTATTTTATGAGCTATCTATAACTATCCTCTTATCTTATTGCTACTCACCTTTCCTGGGCTTGTTCTGTATGTCGATGGCCCGGATCTGATATTCTCTGATTTTTGTACTCACCTTTCCTGGGCTTGTTCTGTATGTTGATGGCCCAGGTCTGATATTCTCTGACTTTTGTACTCACCTTTCCTGGGCTTGTTCTGTATGTTGATGGCCCAGGTCTGATATTCTCTGACTTTTGTACTCATCTTTCCTGGGTTTGTTCTGTATGTTGATGGCCCGGGTCTGATATTCTCTGACATTTGTACTCACCTTTTCTGGTTCTGTTCTGTATGTTGATGGCCCAGGTCGGATAGTCTCTGACTTTTGTACTCACCTTTCCTGGTCTTGTTCTGTATGTTGATGGCCTGGGTCTGATATTCTCTGACTTTTGTACTCACCTTTCCTGGGCTTGTTCTGTATGTTGATGGCCCAGGTCTGATAGTCTGACTTTTGTACTCACCTTTCCTGGGCTTGTTCTGTATGTTGATGGCCCGAGTCTGATATTCTCCGACTTTTGTACTCACCTTTCCTAGGCTTGTTCTGCATGTTGATTGCCTGGGTCTGATAGTCTCTGACTTTTGTACTCACCTTTCCTAGGCTTGTTCTGTATGTTGATTGCCGGAGTCTGATAGTCTCTGACTTTTGTACTCACCTTTCCTGGGCTTGTTCTGTATGTTGATGGCCCGGGTCTGATAGTCTCCGACTTTTATACTCACCTTTCCTGGGCTTGTTTTGTATGTTGATGGCCCAGGTCTGATAGTCTGACTTTTGTACTCACCTTTCCTGGGCTTGTTTTGTATGTTGATGGCCTGGGTCTGATAATTTCCGTCGTCATTCTGGATACACACCAAGTGGGAGTCGGCCTCCGTACTAAAGCATGCTCCTATAGCCATCACATGCTCGTTGCTATTTTCAACCACCTTCATAAGCTTGAAGAATAAATAACCTTAACAATTAGGCACTCCTATTTCTAAATCAATATTGATTTCTTAAATACAGTAAAACAAGTTCACATCAGCCATCAATAAATTCCCTAATTCTTTAAAGAATATTATAGATACACGAAACTATATATGTATATAGGGACTAAAATATTTTTGCTAGAATGCAAAAAAATACTGTATATCTTCTAAAATTTTTTCTTTAAGTCTTTATCCTGACAATTCTTTCAAGGACTTACATCTTCATATCGATTACGTGGGAAATTGATTGTTGTCCGTTTGTCCTGCATGTGTATTGTGATTCCTTTAATCTGGGGTAACATGTACTGGAAATTTCGGAAGTCAGCCAGGAGATTCATTATGGTATGTCCTATCTCAAAGAAGACAGGTTTTCGATTTCGAATGCTGATCAATGGACAAGGATAGTCTGTAAGAGATATAAGATAACGCTGTAGCATAACTGTAAATAACATTATCTAAACATAGCACTTTTCCATAATATGATCTCTTTTAATATAACTTATAAACACATCTGAAATATTTTAAGCTATGAATCAAGCATTATCCAAAATCTTCAACCCATTACACATTAAGCAGATATTAATATAATAATCTTACATCTGTATTCTGCCCCAAGCCGCAACAGAAGGCGTATAGGAAAGACTTTGGCCCAGGGCATTTCCCACTTTTGTAGAAGAATCCCAAATAAATATGGAGGTGTGGGGAGTACAAGTTTATGTAGACACTGGAAGGTCGGCTTTATATACAAAAATCCTCCATGGTCTCTGTCATCTAGGAATGTCTGTGTAAATATTGAATGCCCCATGTCTGAAACTGTGTTACCTAAAATAGAAAGAATAATGTTACCTACAATACAACAATAATGTGTTACCTACAATACAACAGTGATGGTTGTACATGTATATACAAGAGTCAACTAAAATCAGACAAACTGAATCATGTGAGCCCCTGTCTAGGGAAAGCAAAACAATTCTATAAACATAACAAGGCCCATGGTCAACAATGCTCACCTGAGTCACCATAGCCCTGCTGTTCTTCAGAAACCCTATCCTACCCATGGGGCCATGATTTGCACAACTGAATCACTACCTGCTTGCTTATTTTATTAATATGACTAATCATGACCATGTTGTTCTTTACAAGAAGTTTTTAATTTTTTTCTTTGATCCTCTATTGTGGCCCCACCCTACCCCCATGGTGTCATGATCTGAAGAAAAAAAGAACCTGAAGATGCTTGCATATAAATATCACTTATCATGACCTTGCTGTTTTTAAGAAAATGATTTCAAAATATTCTTCAAATATATTCCCATGTGAAACTTAGATCACTTATTGTTGAACAACCCTGCCCCTGGTTTCATGATTTAAACAAACTTAAATTTAAGTAGGTAATTGAAGATTGCACATTAGTTTCACTTTTTCTGGTCCATTGGTTCTTGTGAGGAAGATTTTCAAGACACCCATCCTATTTTTGTCCTTTACTGATTATCTCCTCTTTCAAGATAGGGTTTAGTTGATATTGGCCCTGTGGTTCTTGAGAAGTCAAAAATGTGAAAAGATTACAGATGGACAGACAGGCAGCCAGACAGACAAAATGTAATCAGAAAAACTTGCTGAAAAAAAGCTGAACTTTCAGCTCAGGTGAGCAATAAATCAGAAAACGTTAACTGACCTTTCCCAGCCTCCTCATAGACATAGTATAAATGTCTGAACACATCAACAGGAATCATGTCCTCGTCTGGGAGGCATTCCAGAATAATGACAATCTCATCCTGCCCCACAGTACACATTCCCTGTGTCGTAAAACTCCAACACACACGATTTACACAACAGTCCACTGTAAATAGAAAATTGGAAATCTCTCTTTGACATAATGCTACACTTCATACCAAACCTTGTGACTGGATATTTCATTTAAACTGCATTATTTTTTTATGAAGGACTTTGAATTTTAGTCCAAGTCATATACTTGTCATGATATAGATTTCTAACGTATTTATTCTGTTGTTAGTCATATATGTATAATGCATATCACACCAATGAGCTTGGTGTATGTTTAACTTAAACATACATACAAGAATCAATATAATTCTTTGACTCCATTTATCAAAGAAAATTAAAGGTACTACGAGTAAGCTCACAAAATTATATCCCTCCCCCCCCTACAATTTTTTTAATAAAGCCCATATTCTTTTTTCTAAAAGTGACCTTGAACTTGCCAAAATGACCTTGTTTCAAGAACATGACATGTCTTCTGGTCATAAGTAACTTCTGTGTGAATTATGAACTTCTCACACTTTTAGAAAGATATGGAATGGACATGAATTTGACACTTAGCAGTGACCTTGAACTTGCCAAAATGACCTAGGGTACCCTCAGCTCATGAGTAATCTTTGTTTAGAGTACAAATTTGAAATATTTATCCATAAGAGAGCAATGAACTGGACACAAATTTTATACTTCTTCTACCAGTGACCTTGAACTTATTTGAATGACCTTGGTCTAAAGTCATGACACAATCTCAGGACATAAGTAATATTTGTGCAAAGAATGAGCTTCAACTGTTTCTCTATATGACAGTTATGGAAAGTACATAAATTTTACAATTTATTTGCCAGTAACCTTGAACTTGCTAAAATGATCATGGTCAAGATCATAAAACACCCTCAAGTCATAAATAATCCAGTATCAAAATTTTTCTTCATTTGAGAGTTATGTACCAGATATGAATTACACATTTTCTACCAGAGACCTTGAACTTGCTTTAATGACCTTTTATCAAGGTCAAGATACACTCTCTGGTCATAAGCAAATGTTTTGCTAAGTATGAGCTTCCAATGTTTCTCCATTACACAATATGGTAAAGACAGGAATCATGAATTTTTCAAAAACTGAACTTGAACTTGACCAAATGATCTTATGTCAAGGTCATGACAGACTTTTAGATCATAAGAGTTTGAACTTCCAGTGTTTCTCAATTGCAAAGAACAAGGTACGGTTTCAATACAAATCTTGCCCTGTGTTTTTCTTAAAAATGAAAGTGATGTAAAAAATTAAAACTTAAGCTTTTTTAATCATTGAAATTCCATGCAGAAAGATCATACAAACCATTTTTCTCACATGACCTTCTAAATACTAACTGTGACGTCATAAACCTGTGCATTTTCCCGTATTTTCTTAAAAAGATGCAGAAGACACTAATTTTCAATGAAATTTTCTTTCAGAAAATATTGTCCACAGGCATCGCCCACAAAGATTTGGAAATATATGATTTTTCAAAGAATTTTACACAACATATCCGAAAATTAAAGTGGGCGACAGCTGTGGACACTATTTTCTTAAGGAAAATAACCCTAGAAATGGGCCATTTTGAGGCTTTTTCTGTTTAAAATAGAGAAATGCATCAAATTCATGACGTCATATGTCCAGAATGGTACTCCTTCATGCCATATTCCTTCCTGATTTATCACAGTCATATACTCAACTAATATTTAAGCCAGTTTCAAAACTTTTTGAAAGCATTAATTTTTTTAAGGCACGATAAAGCTAAAACCGTACCTTCTTCTTTATAAACTGGACACAAGTTTAAATTTTTTTTTGCCAGTGTCCTTGAACTTGGATCCAATTCATAACACACTCAGGTCAAAACCAACCTTTGTGTCAAGAATGAGCTTCAAATCTATCTCCATTAGAGAGTTATGGCCAGGACACGATTGCAAGGATAGACGGACAGACAGACAAGAAGGTAGTCCTATATACCTTCCCAAACTTTGTTTGGGGGGGGGGGGGTTGTTACAATAAACCATAGAATCAGTTACATGTATGTTAAATCAACTTACAGGTCAATATCTTTGTCAAAACATGAAGATTGGAACAAAGGGCAAAGGTCAATGGGTTGGCATTTTCATCTGAAATTAAAATATTAGTAAACCATTAAATGTCTTCACTATATTTAATTTCACTCATAATATTTTCAATTCATTGTGACAAGATAGTAAAAAACAAGATTAAATACAGTACTATTTATCACACTCTGTTCTCATGAGAACTCAATTTGTACCTAATTCCAATAGATTTTGCAGAATTGTCTCATTATAAGTTCTTGCTATAATTCTTGGAAGCATCTCTAGATATAGCACACTAAGTACCAGTCAAATTTTATGTGTAAAGCTCACAACCATATACAAACAACTGACCTTTTATTTGTGGTAAGTACTTCTCCATAGAGGGATTTTCTTCAAGTGTTACCTCTGCAAAAACAAAAATCAATTAAATCCAAATAAAAAAAGAAAATTTTGAGTATACATGTACTTGTATCACTTTTCCGTTTTTAGATATACAAAACTAATGAATATCAGCAGTCAAGAAAACTCTCAAAATGTACTGAGAATCTGTTTTATCTGATTTAGTGCTTAAACTATATTCATTTCCTAAATAAGAACCTCAAGGGTAGAGAAAATTGTCCTATTAGCTGGTACATACCTTCATTAGACTTCAGAGTCATAACAACTGGAGGTAGCCCTGACTCGGGAATCAAACACTGAGTTCTTTGAGTCTCACTTGAGCGCACTCGTCTCCCTCCTCCATCTACAACAAAATGAATCTTTGATTTTGTAACAGTGGGATGCAATCCAACTTCTTTACACTGCAGGACAACTTTTGAAAAAAAAAATTATACAAAAAATTGACTAAAATAATCACAGAAAAAAGAAATCTGCATTGAAAAATCTATTTTTATATGAAAACCTAATCTACATGCTAAGGCAGTTTTGTTCTTGTTCATAAGTCAGGGAACAGATCTACCTCAATCCTAATAATCAAGTTATTGTAAAAATTAATTTCTTCAATATTTTTTCTCCTTTTCTAGTCATTAGTTTTATGTTACAAATATCCTCATCTGTATTCTTGCTGTTTAACTACACTGTACATGTCCTTGATGTTTGCAATTGGGTCCACAGATGACTGTACAACTAGTCAATTTGAAAAAATGGAAACAAATATTTACAATACAACTGTGTAGTACACAGTGGAGGTATTACCTATGTTGTACACAGTGAATTTATGAACTGTGTTGTATACAGTGGAGGTATTACTTGTATTTTATACAGTTGAGGTATTACTTGTGTTATACACAGTTGAAGTATTACTCATATACAGTGGAGGTACTACATATGTTGTACACAGTGAATTTACGAACTGTGTTGTATACAGTCTAGGTATTACCTGTGTTGTATACAGTCGATGTATTACCTGCACTGGTCTTGTCTACTCGTTTCTGACTTCTCTGGGATCGGCGCAATGGCAGTCGGGAGGACGCCTGGTTTGAACCATCAAGCTCTGTCAAATCACCACCAGGTCGAATTCCATCAGAAAACATCACCTGTTTTGGCTCATGTCTTCTTTGGGAACCTACAAGCAGTTTCTATAGCTTACACTCCAAGCCTCAAATTTTTTAAAATATAGGATATGGAAAATCACAACCCCAGTCAACGTCCAACAAGCTTTAAACACACTATGAATAAGGGGCAGTGACCAGCTTAAATGTATGAAAACTTTTACACTGTTACATACACTGTACTAATTTACAATACAAAAATATTGAAGTCAATATCAGGATTTCTTGGGAAATGGTCAACATATCTGGTTTAAATCTTTTGTCTATATCTGCTAAAGTAGGGTATATGGGGGCAAATTATGGAAATAGTGGCAAGTATAGCTTAAGACAAGAGTTGTACCATATATACTTGCCTCTAAGTTATAGGCGAGTTATAAAAATATTGGTATTTTAGAGGGTCAATCCCTCTAATATAGCTTGAAAAATACAACCGACTTACAGGCGGGCAGACATATAGGCGAGTATATATGGTAACTCTGTCAGATAAATACTGGTTTACATTCTCGTGTAGAAAGGCAACAAAGAAGTATTCCAAGTATATGAATTTTATTTAACACAAAAACTAATTGTACAAAGGTATATATGTCCATTTCTATTGTCCCAACAGTGAAAGCATAAGATATGAATTTAGTTTGGAAATTCCAGGCAAGCTAAGAATTAAGATAAATATGTACAAGCATCTGCTAAAACTTTAAAATAATCTAAGAAGTCATTCAAAAAAGACAATGATTGATGTTCAACAGAACGTCTGTTCTACTGTCCTGTGACAGAACATGCCTTGAAGTTTGGAAAGCCGACCAAAAAAAAAAAGAATTACATGAATTAATTTCATTAATTCTGAATGAAATTAGGTGGCTAAATGTAATAATCATGTGCTAAAACTAGTAATGAAATTAGCGTAAATAATTAAAAGAACATAAAATGAATGCATTCATCCCTACATTAACCATAAAGCCTGTTATATGTTTATAATAAAGCTTACTCGGGATTATTATAATCTCTGTGTTTAAATTGGTGGCAATGCAGCTTACATTTTATTATTTACATGTCTAAACAAAATCCTAAAGGCTCACAAATCTGCCTTTATATGCCAGTCTACTCATGTATGCACTCACTCAGACACTGTCAAACCTGAGTTAAATCATCTGATCACCTATATTAGTATGTGAGTGTACTCAACATCAGGCTTGAGTTAACCAATCATCTGATCACCTATACTAGTATGTGAGTGTACTCAATTTCAGGCTTGAGTTAACCAATCATCTGCATATCATGAGAACATGTAACTTGCCTTAAAATTTAAGAATTTATACATCTGCTTAACAGATTGTTCTCAGCATCTGAGTTCAGTAACTCATTTCTATATGTACAATGTAAGGTTAATCAATGTAAGGTTAATACTTCATGCTCCGGTAGATCTGGTTATGTCCTATCATCATGACCCTATTTATACCAGAGACATAAATAATAGAGATCTCCAACTTTACTTTTACTTTACTTTTTTCAAACCTTGTACTGTTTAAAGCAGATAAATCTTTTCATTAATATCAACAAAGTATTTAGAACATTATCTTTTCATAAGTTACTTTATTGAATACCGTAACAAAGGAGAAATCAGAAATACCAACAGGTGACTCATGATCATCCATATCCCTGATATTTCACCAACTTCCAATCATTTACTCCTTAAATTAATTTGCCTAGTTTGCTTTTAATCAATATATAGGTTTAAGACTTTAAAAATCATACACTCATTACACGTATTATAATAATAGAATTAATATTAATTTAACTTTAGATTGAAAAACACAACCAAGAAAGAGTAATTGCTGGGACTGCCACATATTTTAGTAAATTGGCATGTTAATGGCAGAGTTTGTGAGAGTCTGTTACTTATTAATGTCTCTGTTTATACAAACTCTTACATATGTCTAACAATCAAAATGTGTGTGTACTCAACTTGTAATACATCTACCTGATATGTGAGTGTACATGATAATCCTGTGTTACATAAAATTCTTATATATGTAAGAATACTTACCATCTCGCTTGAGTACACTTGTGGGGGGAGAGGTTAAAGGTCGTTCACCTGTGCCTGATGCCATGCCTTGATCCGCTTCATTGCACAAATCTGCTGCAGAAGAAAATGCAAAGCTATACATTCAAAGCAGGTCAATGTAAGATAACACAGGGGAGGAAGAATAGCAACAAGGCATGCAGGATTTATTGAACATAATCTATCAACAGCAGAGCATGTAAAGAATATTGTCACGAGAAAGCAGTGATTTCTACAGGTAGGGCAGTTACTTCGTATTCCTGAATGTTTTGGACATGAAATTGTTGGGTATCAGTGAGCATTACAGAATCAACCAAATATATATATATATATATATATATATATATATATATATATATATATATATATATATATATATATATATATATATATATATATATATAGATATGATCAATGATAGAGAAATTATAGTGAGATCAAAACTTGTTGAGATGTTGTGTATTCCAAATTCTTGCCAAATACCATGTAAACGTTTAGTCCCTTTCAGTAAATTCAGTTGTTTAAAATATTGTCTAATCTGGAATGTTGTCTACTCTGCCCAATTTCTTTGGAACCAGTGGTGTCCAGATTAGACAAGTTTAATTAAGTGTAATATCATGGTAAGAAATCAACTTGTTTGAAAATGTCATTTAAAGTAAGAAAAAAAAAGAATAAGGCAGATATTGTCCCAGACAGAAGTGGAATAGAGACATGTGTAGCCATTATTACTCAACATTGTTTGACTTCAATACTATCAGTATATTTCCATCTGTTACCGGTTATACATGTAAGTGTTTACATCTGATTACTTGTCTATCTACACAGGGGAAATTACTCATACCTGCAGGTTCAAAAGTGCATATTTAGTGTGTGGGAATTAGTTCTTCACAAAAAAGTGGAATATGGAGATAAGTTTTGACATTTACTTATATTGTTCTGCAAAACCTGCTGTGGAAATGTCAAGTTCATAATTTACAAAGGTGTATGTATTATGATCATGATTTATACTTTTGGATTAACATATGACCTGCTAGCTATCCAAGGATTGACCTCTATATTCAGATTTACATTTCTATTTATAGATTTTACCTTCGATCATTTGATGACAAGGAACACACACGCGGGCCTCTTTGTTATCCATGTAAGGGAGACGACTTTTTAAATTACAGCACGTTGAACAATAGACCTGTCAAAACCATTATAAAGATTAATAAAATAAGGAAATATTTTATCTACTAAGCTCAGTTTAACAATATGGCATTTAAATTATACAATAAACTATATATTTTATGTTGATTTCCTTAAAGCAAAATACAGGTAGAACAAATGTTAAGTAGTAACATAGATTTTGTGAATGTGAAGTTTTCAGTTAGTTATTTGCACTTCTCAAATGAGGAACACTTTATATGGCTTAAAAAATCAATACTGAAGACACAAACATGAAAAGACAATTAAATATCAGATACCTTTCCACATGCTCTACAGTGGTGTCTCCTCTTGGTGAAGGTAAACTTCATCTCACATCCCATACAGTTAGGTGCTTCACTGTCCGGGATCCATCGGGGAGCCACCCGCCCCACCCCTGAGGGATTATATCCTGCCCCAACAGGTTCCTCATTTGGTATAATGTCTTCAGACAATGTGTTCAGATCTGAAAAAAAGTATCTTCTTAAATAGAAAATATTAAAACACACAGATATACCAGGTACAATGCAGGTTTGTTGTATCTTTATACTATATTTCATTCATGTCATGGCTACAGAAATTCAATATAACTTTCTACTTACTTGAACAAGTAATTAATTTGTAAACTGTGTTAATCAAACATCCTGTATGTAATCAAGAATATGTTCATTCTTACCCTGTGGGTTATCTTGTGAAGCCCTGATCTCTGGATCTCCATCCACTTCTGGACTGGTCTCTGAATTATTGGGGTAGGGGAATGTATAGGGAGCGGATGACCTCTCATGACCATGTTCTCCTCTCGGGGGGAGGTTTAGACTATTAGGCCTCCTCTGTTGATGAGTACCTCCATCCCCTGGACCCCAGGAGTGGGGACGGTCCACCAACTGACCATTATCCCCAGGATGCCTCATTACAGCCCCTTCTAACCCACTTTCCTGCAGTGACAGTGCAATGGCTGCTGCTAGATCTGGGTCCATCTCTTCCACTGAGTCATTGTTCTGAACACATGAGTCATATTTGTTGACCACTTGTTCACTTTGCACTAATGAGTTCTCTTTTGTATTTTGCTCACTATGAACAGTTGAATCTGTGAATTCCTTTGGTTGAGCCTCTAATGCCTTTGGTGGTTCATTTGGAGGGGTAGCCATTGGTTGTTGGGGCTCTTTAGGACGAGCACCCATATTGGGAGGTAAAGACGTTAGATCCTGGTCTCCTAAACTGGTAGTTGATTCATTTTGTATATCAGAATTTTCGGTAGTAAATTCATCACCCTGAGAGATTTGTTCGCTCACTGTTTCTTGGCCATTGTTTAGTAAATCCAGCCTTTCCCCAGCAACATTTTCATCACAACTAACAGGCTGAATCACTTTATCAGTCCTCACATTTTCACTCTCCGTCTCACTTTGTTGTAATTGTGTTTGAGTAGAATCTGTGAAATCTGAGGTGTGGATCAAAGGTTCTTCTGGATGAACACTTGCATTCTGCCCATCAGGTTCTATGTTACCACTAACATCCCCCAGATAATTGTCCATGTCTGATATGTCTACTTCAGCATCACAGAATCCCACCGCTGATTTAGAATTCGTAGTTACAGTACTGAATCCCACTGTTGATGGTGAATCCAAAGTTGCCAGCTCACTGTTTAAACTGATCTTGCTGCTATCTACAGGTACACTTTCTTTACTATTCTCTTGTTCTAAAGTCAATTGTCCCTCATTACTGGGGGGTTCCACTGTGTCAGACAGACCAATAGGGCTGTCCGAGGCTACAGGATCACAGACACTTCCCTTCACTTCTAGTGCTGTATTAGGTTGTATCATGACGTTTTTTGGCTCTGTAGAATTGATATCATGTGGCACTGATGAAGAATCCTGATTCCTTTCTGTGTTATCACATGACATTATACTTTGTTCATTCAAACTGTGCTCATTACTAGAACTCTCTCCACCCTCAATGTATGGATGCCTGTTACTGATTGCACTTGAAACCTGTCCATCTGATCCTCCAGACAAATCTGTCCTATTTGATGGCCTGCCCTCTGTATCATTCACGTCAAACCTCGGCTCAGAACCAGAGATAGATTTTTGGTTGAAAACCTTTACCTCATTATCTGTGTTATGACTAGATCCAGTCCGTTTTTCACTGTTGTCCACTATATGCGGAGCCTGTGGATTCACTGACCTGAAGTTTTCCTGTCTGGCCAGTGCTTCATGACTTTGTGTTTGTGAAGTACTACCGACTTCCCTCACATCCTGTGTCTGGATGAAGTTTCCAGCATGAACTGGCATTGGTCGCAGCATTAAGTTTGTAGGGGATAGGGTCGTGTTGCTGTCTATACTGTTAACACCAGAGTCAATGGAATTATCAACAGAGGGATAGGTTGTAGGCACCACATGTTGGTGAGATTTTATCCTAGGTGGGGTGTAGATCCCTGTATTGTAAGTGTAAGACTGAGATGAAGGTTTTAATTCCTCGGATTTCTCACCGATCTCTTGAATGTAAGTTAGGTTTGACTTGTTGACCCCATTTGAGATAGCATGAGCCAGGTCTGGAGGAAATGGCTGGTTCTCATACACCGGTGTAAACTCATCCCGAGCCTGTATGGGGTACTTATAATCCTGAGATCTATTAGTAATGACCTGACTCAGATCTAGTTTGTGATCACCATTCATTACCAAATGAGCAGGCTTGGCAGCCCCTTTCTCTTTCATAGCAGCGTTCTCTGAGACCCCAGTTTTATAATCTGTGGCGGGGGCAAAGTCTGCCTCTGATAGGTCGAACTGATCACTCGGGCTATACGGGATGTCATAGGCTGCCATTTCATTGGTGTGATTTAAGCCAACTGTCCATGATGGGTCAGTACTGCCAGCGACATTAGAGAGCTCCTCCCAGGGCCTGTCATTCTTCAATGCCACGTAGCTGGAGAAATCTGACGGTTTGGTTTCCTGTCCTGGACATCCCTTCCCTCCTGTCTCTGAATAATGAAACAAACTCATAGTCAAGATCAGTGAAAATTTTACATAAACCAGATTCCCACCTCCCCTCCCCCTCCCCCCCCCCCCCCCCCCAAAGAATTTTTTTTTTGGATAGGATAATTTTTTTCTGACCTTCCCTAGGATATTGTATAATTTTGTTTGAATATGTAATTTACTGTAGAAAAAAAGTGATATGGCCTGAAGACTATAAACTGAGAACAGACTTAAGTCAAAATTTTGATATGGAATACCTTGAGTTCTATTTAACATATGTGCATAAAAATTTGCAAGTTTGTATAACACACAAATTTGTGCTGATTTTTTTTTTTGGTTTCATAATCATGATAATCAAAATAATTTCAAAAAGTCTGTCTTAAATTTATAATCTTGAGGCCAGATCATGATATTGTAGGTAAGAGTATGTTTCCTGATGGTAATAATTTTGATTCTGAACTGCAGTATTTTTTTGTACACCATTCCTTTTGTCTCCTCACCTTCTGCCTCAAAATCATCTAAAACTTTGTCCAAATCCACAATTAAGCTATCCATATCTGCCTTTAAAGGTCACAACACTGTAAACAGGAAAAAAAAAATTATATAAATAAGTACCGGGTAATGATGCTTCAATTTCTTCAACATTTTCCAAATTGAAAATTTTTATTTACTGTTGTCCCATTTTTTGTTCTAAAAACAATAGACTTCAACTCCATTTGACTGCTCTAGATTTTAAAACATAAAATGTAAAAGTTACAAATCAATCATCATTTCAATATTTCAAAAGCTGTGTAGGACAGAAACACCTTTTGTAACCTTGTAGGTGACTCACCTGTTAGTGACCTGGACAAAGTCCTCCCCTAATTACAGGTAATTACAGGTAATGTCATCAGTCATCCTGCTAATCCAGCTTCCAATGGTACGTGTCAAATAACTCAATTACTACAATATCAATACAAGAACAGTCAGTTATATCTGTCTGTTTTTTTTGGGGGGGGGGGGGGAAGGGGTTGAGGGAGGGGGGTCAGTTCATTATTTGTGTGCAGGAAAGGGGATAATACAAATTAATTAAAAAAAAAAAAGAACTGTCAACATGGTCAATGTTATCTACCTGGGAACCTGTCAAGCTCTCTTTCTCTGTAGAAAGGTTTGTGTTGCAAGGGATATTTTTTTCTGAGAATTGAGTGCATATCAAAATTTGTACATATTGAGGTTTATTACTTACAAAAATTCTGAAAGACATCAGATATATACAAAATTTTGCTGAGGCAGCAACCTGATTTCTGCTAGGGAAACCTCTATATCATTAGACATAGGCTTCTCTAAGATATACATTGTATGACTTAGGTGTTCAACTGTTTGGGGTAAATATTTCCCATAGACTATATATCTAATGCCAAGTCCCTTGCACCATGGGACGTTCATCCTCACAATGTCAAGGTTTTGTGATTTCGGAACTCCACACAAACCCTTGACATAAGTCGCTATTTAAAAGTTGGGTTTGTGGAACACATGACGTAATGAGTAATTATAAACTAACCAATGAGAATATATTTTTCAAATCCGTTGTTTTCAAATGGCCCAACTCCAGAGCATTTCATTTAATGTAACTAGTCACAAATCCTACAATATCGACACTTTCCATTTGAAAGACGAGTCATATTTGTTTTCAAAACTTACCTACAATAAAAGCTATTTTCTGATTGGTTCCAGTCCTAGACTAGGAACAAATAAAATAGTAGCTTTCTAACCCAACTTTTAAATAGCAAATTATGTCAAGGGTTTGTGTGGAGTTCCAAAATCACAAAACCTTGACATTGTGAGGATGTGGTACGTTTGTCATAAGTTTTTTATTTAACGTCAAATTATCACCAAATTTCATAGACATATATTTCAGTAAAACTTGTTTAGTACGAACACGGATATAGCGAATTCATGGATATAGCAAAGTTTTTTGAATCCCCGGCAAAATTCCTAACAAATCCTAGGAAAATATTACAGGTATAATGAACTCTGATATAAGGAATGTACGGGTATAGAGAATTGATTTTCTGTCCTGTAGAGGTTAAAGATAACAAAAATTATATCTTTTATAATGAATTTTCAGTACTTCAAAATATCAAACTGGCAATATTTTTTATAAGTATTTAGATTTGAAATTCCATTTGTCAGAAATATTTAGTGCCTCTTGTAACATGTGTAAAATTTTGTATTTAATACCTCCCAGAACCAATCTGATTAAAATCAGATCTTTGTTACGCTCCGAAATTCTGATGGTCGCTGTACAGCGACCATCAGAATTTCGGAGCGTAACAAAGATCTGATTTTAATCAGATTGCTCCCAGAACATATTTGGTAGTCATACTTGAAGGAAAAGATTGCAAATTCATTATATATACTTTAACAAATTCTTTATACTGATATAAAGAATTACGGATATAGCGAAGTAAATTCACAGGTCCCCAGGACTTAGTTGTAAGCGATTTTTACTGTAACAATAAATTCAAATAATTTGAATTAAAAAATTCAAATATATCATAATAAATATAAAAATTAATTTATCTAAAATTTAAGACTGCAAAAATTGGGTCATAGAGCATGGTCAAAATTGAGTAATTCACTAACAATACACTTTATGATATCTGTAGTCCTATCTTTAATAAATGGCACTTACACACAATAAAATTGTTCAAATTTAGTATACATATATAGTAGTTATATAATTTCAGATGCCAAATTGTTATGTTAAACATTGCTTCGTCAAAAGGAAATCATTTTCAGAAGACAGGTAGTCCTTTTGGGAAAAAAAAAAGAAAAAAAAGAGATGACATTGAAAGACATTATGGAGCAGCGAGTAGTGACATAATTTTGTTTTGCATTCAGGAATTTTTAGCCTCTAAAACAAACTATGAAAATGCTGGAGAAACCAGGAAATATATCAAAGTTGAAACGTGGTCCTAGCATTTGCACATAAATGGCAAAGACTGTTTTTGAGTGATAGAAACTTTGAATCAAGTTTAAGTCTGGTCAAAAGATTTAGTAACGTCATAGAATGTGAAGTATGGTTCATTGTTGCAGAACTTGTGAAAGCTGACTTTGTGGTAAAGAATCTCAAAACACTGACAAATTAACTTAGGCAATTCAAACAATTAATAGCAAACTGGTGTCAAGTGTTATGGAAGAATGGGTAAGGCACACTTATAAACTGTGTGAAAAAAAAGAAGGTGGAGAGTAATTTTCAGACACTTTCATGACGTTGTTTCTGACATTTTAATGTTGTTAAGAGTGCTTCGTAGTGACAAAACCTGTTGATTTTAAAAATTAAATAACATGATCGAGTATCATTTAATCAAATAAAATCTTAAATCTTATAAAAATAATATGATGATGAGCAACATTGTCTGCATATTTTTTGAATTACCCACCAGAGAAAATTAAACAAATTTGTTGATTGGTAGAAACTACTCAACTGAAAAAAATATATATACTTCCTGTCACAAATGCCTTACTAATGCATCTGTAATCAATATTGGGTTAATTTGTAATATGATTATCACATGAAAACAACTTATTTACTATTACAGTCAAACCTCATTCTCTCGAAGGGACCGAGAAAATACTTCGAGATAACCGAGGATTTGAAATATCCAGGGTAAAATACTTAAGGAATAAGCAGTTGGGACTTCAAAATGACTTCAACATATCCATGGTATTAGTCCATTAGAGATATTTGTTTTCTAGATACCAAAGTTCAACAGTTACTTTACATATATTCTGCTTCTAAAACTACAAATTGTTTCCAAATTTCAAAAAATATTTACAAGTCTGAAGTGATTTCCCATTAATGTTAGCTTTTTATCTATACATAGACAATATACATTTATTTCCTAATGCAGGTTCAATATGGGGGAAAACCAATGTAAATTGTAAGTTACCAACTTGATGGCTTAGTGTCTGACAAATAAAATAAAATTTATTATATACAGTGTATGTGTTCATTATATTTTCTTTTTTGCCCCATATTATGACAATACACGAATGTTACAAAATTGTCCAAAATCGTTTGAAGGTTTTAAAAATTTACAGGTAAGTTATAAAGGATATAGTGAGAAAAAGTTTGTTATGCCAACAAAGGGAGATAACTTTTAAGAATGTGAAATACGTCGATTCAATGACTCTTTCATTGAGATTACCTTATTTCCCTGATTATAAAATTGGGTTAATTTTGATGTTTGTCATGGACTTTGTGGCTTCAATACTCATGTTTTACATGTACATTTGTAAATCACAGGCAAACAACAGTGTATTAAAATTAACCAATGGTGAAATAAAGTAAAACTGATCTGTGATACTAAACTGCTTGATAGTTATCCATCAACCAAATTAACAAATGTTTTTTATTAGGAATGGAGAGATGTTGAGAAACAGCTTAAGGCCAGAGTTTCTTAGCAGGATGCCAAAATTCAGTGCTGAATCACCCCCACTCCCCCACTGTGTCAGTAAGTACTGTTAGCATCGTGCAAGAATGATAATGAACACATAACAGTTTGATTTTTAAAGGTTGTGTATATTCTATGTTTTTCCCACCTTAATCGACCTTACTCAATTCTGAACGAAAGAGGATCCGAGAACAGTGTCAACATCAGATGACCACCTGTCCAGAAATATCACACATCAAAATTAAAGTAAAGCGAGAAATATAAACGAGAGTAATGTTACCTTAACGGACTCATTGTATGTCCATTTACTCGTGGTGCTGCTGAAAACAAAGATATTATCTCGTGTTTCACTCTTAATAATTTCAACTGTCAGTGATCTCACAGATTATTTTCATAGAAGGTCAAGGTTGGAATACAAAGTCACGTGACTTTATATTGACCTTTCAAAACTTGCGCTCTCTCATTACTGATATTTTAAAAATGCGCGAAGGTTCTGAGTAACTGAAGCTATGAAGATCCATGGAGTTCTGTATAAGTAACTCTTATTGACAAAGAGGAACGCTTTACAACATCAAGAAAATCTTGAAAGTGCTAAGTAGCCGATCTGATATCTTTTGCGTAATACAAGTCTCCGATAAAATGCGATATCGAAACCCTTTCTCGCACCCTTACCTCGAAAATGAAAGTAGGATTTCGTAGAATCATTCTAAAGTTGAGTAATAATGTTTGTCAGATACACACCAGAAAACTTTTGAACCTCCAGGCAAAAGATATGGCGAGCAACAAAAAGGAACAAGTTTTCAAATACCTCTTGATTCTGGATTTTGAGGCGACTTGTGATAAAAAAGCACCAATTATTCCACAGGTACCGCACAAGAGATAAATTATTCAACAAATATCGTACTTGTTCTGAAAAAAAACCCTATTGACACAGGTACTGTAATAAAAAAAAACCCACCGCTTATTCTACGGGTGCTGTACAGGTGAGAAAATAAAAGAACAGGTGCATAAGTAACAAATGTGGATAAGAGGTGATTGGTTGATTATGTGTTGTTTTACGTCCCATTCGAGAATTTTTCATTCATATAGAGACGTCACCATATACGGTAAGGGCTTCAAAATTTAGATCTATACTCTGCATAGTTAGAATAATCTAACTGTGTCTCGGGACAAGCCCTCACCACAGTTAGAATACGTCCCATATACTTGCAATGTAGCAAATCGGAGTGGATCCACTCCGAAATGATTTTGAATAATACAAAAGGAGTTGCACTGAAAATAACTACAAAATCAATCATAACAAACCTTTTTGAGATGGTATATGTCTTTCAACCTAAAAAATAATCCATATAAATATGAAAATTCAACTCATTTTCTCAACGTTTTTTCCTCGCTTCAAATTTAACGCCATGTTGACATTCGGAGCTCTCTGGATTGTTCATAGAAAATGCACAGAGTACGAGTTATTGCCCGTGTTTATTTTGCAACATTGCCAATACACGGAATGAATTCTATCGTTAAACCGGGTCCGTAGGACAATATCATTTTAACGATAGAACATTCTATCTATACTCTGCACTCAAGGCCAATGAGCAGTGAGGGTTCTTTATCGTGCCAATGCCTACCATGACACAGGGCCTTGGTTTTTAAGGTCTCATCTGAAAGACCTGCAACTTTCACTTCAAAGTGCCAAGTGCTTGGAAGGAATAGTTGCTTCCTATTATTTATCGGCTTAGGTCAGTCGCTTGGTGAAGGAATAGTTGCTTCCTATTTTTTATCAACCTAGGTCAGTTGCAGCCGTGATTCGAACACATGACCTTCCGATCACTGAGCGAGTACTCAACTGACTGGGCTACCATGACGGGGATAAAAGGTGAAGGAGAGTTGACTAACAGGTAAAGGTCGGGGGGGGGGGGGGGGTGTTTAGTGGGTAGTTGGGATATGTTGCTGGAATATATAAAGATATGGTCACCCTCTTTTACCTTAGAATGTATGATAAGATATATTATAGGATTACTATTCATTTTTGCTTTCCTGCTAGTGAGAGTAAAGGTAAAATTAAGAATGTAAGATACAAAGATAACATCACTCAGATACTGTAAGGAAGTGTCCAGAAAATCCTCAGTTTAAATCTTAGTTTAGGACACTTTTCTTCTCTGTAATTCCAGTTTTGTTGTGTTTTTTAATAATAGGAAATTATTGAATTCCCTGTGATCAAATTGAACACAGACACACTGGAGTCAGAAGCTGTTTTTCACACTTACGTGGAACCTGATGTCCATCCAAGGTTGACACCATTTTGTACAGAGGTAAAGTGAAATGTTCTATACATCAAAACCATAACAAATACATGTACACTAAATTCATAAAACAGCAAAGTTTGTGTTACATTAATTATTTTTATGCCTTGCCATGAATATGGCTGGGGCATATAGTGTTTGTCAGGTCCGCCTTCCATCCATTAGTTCTTCTGTCTTTACATACTTTGCATTTAGCTCAGTTTCAAAGAAAGTATTCAAGATATTTTTATCAAATGTCATATGCTGATACATATTGATGGGAGCAATTTCAAATGCATCAATATTTTTGACCTTGACTTTTCCTTTGACCCTGACCTTACTTTTCCAAAATTTTTGTTTATCTCAGTTTCAAAGAAATAGTTCAAGATATTTTTATCAAACATCATATGCTTATACACACTGATGAGAGCTATTCAATTGCAACAACATTTTTGACCTTGACCTTTCCTTTGAGCTTGACCTCACTTTCCCCAATTTCATGTTTAGCTCAGTTCTTGTGAAACAAATCAAGATATTTTTATCAAACTTAATACATCTTGGTGAGTGCTATTGACCTGCATCAAATTTTTTTTTTACCTTGACCTTCCCTTTGACTATTACCTTACTTTTCTTAAATTTTCATTTGCATCAAGATATTTTTATTTAAGCATATGCACTAATACATAATTTGGTAAGAATTTATCAACTGTGAACATACTTTATCTTGAACTTCCCAATGACCTTTGACTTTGCTATTTATTGAGTCTTAAATCAATTCTAAAGATTGAAACTATTCAAGATATTTTCATCAAACTTAATACACTAATAAAAATTTTTCATGTAGCATTACTAATGAACCCTGGGTGGGGAATTTATGTCCTATGGACATATTTCTAGTTTTAACTTCTAACTTCTTTTAACTTCTGATAATGAATGAGAGATCCTCTTGGTCATGCCTTGATTGAATTCATCAAAAGCATGTCCACTATAACTGTTTATTGTGTTTTACTGCTTATTATTTGGGGAATTCAAATGTAAGAAAACTTTTTGATGATATGTAAAAAAAAAATATTTTTTTCAAAATTTGTTGAAATGTTCCTATTTTGAAACATATAATTAATTTTTGCAGTTGACAGGAATTACACAATCTCAGGTGGATGGACAACCACATTTAACAGAAGTTTTAGACAAGGTCAGTTTAATTCATTAATGTAATCTGTTCAACAGCTTATATACTAGTAACATGTAAATTATTTTCTGCAATTAATACAGGGCTCAATATTAAGGCACATCCAATCGACTCAGACTATAGTGAAAGACTAGTAAAAATTTGTTCCAGTCTAGTTTATTTTGCGTCAAGTAGCCCTACTGGTTGTGTAAATATATCTCAAAGTTCAAATGTTTAAGGATTTTCAAACATGCTAATCAGTTGATTGAATCATATCGATGACAATTAAGACAATCATAAAAAGATTTATTTTTGAAAACTTTACAATGTTTTATTGTACTATAATAGCTACCGATTAGGAGACATTATGTTCGGTATCATTATTATGCAATGTACATATCAGTATTTCATCAATTTTGCTGCCATTTTATTTTCTTGTAAAGGCTAAATTCTACCAAGAGGTAACCTTCCTGCTAGGTCATTTTCTCTATGTCAACTGTTGTGCAGAATATGTTTTAATTGAAACAGACCTAGAACTAAACATAGTTGAATTATTATATATCTCCCTACTTGAATTCAATAAAAAGAAATTTATTCAATAGTATAAAAGTTTTTGAACCTCAAAAAATGACAAAGTTACAATAACCATCAAATTGTTAACATTGACGATGCTAGTATTCGACTATTATGGTTTTTTTTTCTTTCATTTAAATATTTAAATAAATAAATAATTAATTAATTGCATCATACAATGATGTACAGATATTAGATCAGGTCTAGTGAAGTTGAGGTCAGGTCTTGTAAAATTGTCAGGTACTAGTCCGACTGGTCTAGTTTGTTTTGATCTTAATGTGGAACCCTCTAATAACAAGGGCAATAGCTTAATACGATTAAAGGGGCATAGACATATCCTTTGCACTGCCATTTTGTTAACATGATTTGAAGTCCCTATTTATTTTAAAACACCCAACTTCAGCTCCTTATTTAAACCAACATGAAAATTTTCAATGTTCAATGACAAGGCATTCTTCATAAGTAGGGATCTCAGTTTCAATTGAATACATGTAGCCTAGTCAAATAAAAAATAAAACACGGAACTCTGGAAATTTCAGATGTGAGATCAGGTGCAAAGGAGGAGTAAGCATCCCCTGTCGACTGGTCACAGTCTTGATGTGAGCCCTATGTATTGATCAGATTGACAGAATATTCCATATTCAAATTTAGTATAAAAACAAAAGCTAAACCATCGGTATGAGACATGTCAGGCAAATATGACCCAGTGAAAGGTTATATTTGCTTACAAAGTCATTATAATGACCATAGAATTTACGAAATGATGACTTTAATCTAGATTGTTGAAATTCCTGTAACATCAACTTATCTGTCAGAAGTCTGCCTTGGTTTAATAATTGTTCAAAAATATTCTTCTCAAGAACAGCAAAGTCACAATTAGTTGTATTTATATGGAAGCATCCTCAAATTAGTGTAGATTCAAGTTTGTTCAAATCATGACACCAGGGGGTAAGGTGGAGCCACAACAGGGAATCAAAGTTTTAGATAGGAATAGCGTGGCCATATTAACTCGGGTGAGCATTGTGTCCCATGGGCCTCTTGTTTTAATATCAATACACATGACAGATATCCCACTTTTCTTACACATTAAGAATAAACTTCAGTAAGTATTCTAGGTGTGACAATGAAATAGACCTGAAAATTCTAAATATGTCTTTATAATATATTAGTCTGAAATGCTCTGGCAACATGTAACATTTAGGTAATAAATCATAATGAACAATTTTGAAGGGTATAAACTTCAACATTGTGTCTATACTCCTTGATCTTTCATGTTAAAGATTGCCTGAAATATTAATTTTGTTTAGTATCAGTAAAACTTTATGCTGTGTAATCTTTCTCCATATTACAGTTATTACCCACCTGGATGAAGGAACAAGGCCTCTTTGAGACAGAGAACACCAGTATATTTGTCACTTGTGGTGACTGGGATCTCAAAAAAATGTAAGTGCTGAGGCGAGAGAGATACATGTATACCGGGGTGATCAAAAAGTTTGTGAACTGGTACAATAGAATTATCATTATGTTTTCAACTATCATGAATTTTTTATTGGCAATATTTATACTTAATCATACAAAATGTCATTGTCATATACCAAAAAATAAAAAAAAATTACATTGTACAAAAATCAACGGTGTTACAAACCTGGCACAGTCCGCCAGTCACCTGTTGAGGTCGCTAATATTGAATATTGCTAACAATTAATTGCACATTGGTTGTAAAAACTTCTTTTGTTGGCATTATAAGAATCGCTAAAATTACTTCTCGCTAAAAATATGTACCAATTTTTCAGGATAAATCGCTAAATTTCCATTTCACTAAAAATTCCACTTATACGGTATTTCAACCCCTACTTAGGTAGTGTAGTTTCAAATTTGTTCAATTTATGGCCCAAAGGGGTTGGTTGGGCGACAATAGTGGATCAAAATTTGACATGGGAACATAGAAAAAATTCAATAAAAAAAAGCAGGGCCATTAGTCCTATTAATGTGCATGTATCCTCAGTTAGATTAAATTTAAATTTGTTCAAGTCATGGCCCCCAAGTTGAGTTGGGGACATGGTTCAGGCAACAATAGTGGATCAAAATTAAATTGATTGATTGATTGTATTTTGTTTTATGTCCCATTCGAGAATTTTTCACTCATAAGGAGACGTCACCATATACCAGTAAAGGGCATCAAATTAAGATCTTTACTCGGCACTCAGGGCCATTGAGCAGTGGGGGTTCTTTATTGTGCCAATGCCTACCGTGACACGGGGCCTCGGTTTTTAAGGTCTCATCTGAATGATCTGCAAATTTCACTTCAAAGCCCCGCGAGCGCTTGGCGAAGGAACAGTTGCTACCTATTTTTTAATGACTTAGGTCAGTCGCGGCCAAGATTTGAACTCATCGCCTTCAAAATTTGACATGGAAACATAGAAAAAATCCTATAAATAACAGCAGGGCCATGATTAGTCAAATTATTCTGCATGTATCCTCAGTTAGTTTAAATTCAAATTTGTTTAAGTCATGGCCCCCAAGTTAAGTTGAGGGCACAATAGGATATAAAAGTTTTACATGGGAAATATAGGAAAAATCTTATAAAGAACAGCAGGGCTATGATTAGTCTTATTAATTTGCAAGCATTTTCAGGTCATGCAGTTTCAAGTTTGTTCAAATCATGCCCTTGGGGGTAGGGTGGAGCCACAGTAGGGTATAAGTTTTACATGGGCATATATCTTTAGAAATTTCTCCTCAAAACCAATAGGGCCATGAAAAGTTATATTAATAAGCAAACACCCTCATGTCATGTTAATTCAAATTTGTTCAAATTAAGCCCCCAGGGAATAGGATTGGGCTACAATAGAGGATCAAAGTTTTATATAAGAATATATAGGGAAAAATTCTTTTAAAACCTCAAAAACAGCATGATCAAGATTATTCATATCAATATGCAAGCATCCTCAGGTGGTGTAGTTGTTCAAATCATGGCCCCAGGGGGTAGGATGAACTATGTTCTGAAAACAGCAGGGCCAAGGTGACTCAGGTGAGCATTGTAGTCCATGGGCCTCTTCCATAAAATTTGACTAATGCAGATATTGTTAGCTGTATACAGGTATTGTAGTTTAGTTTATCTTTGAGTGTTATAGGTGATGAATACTTTTATTTATCATGTGTGATGGTAACCGTAGCTATTATTTTGGCAAAGAATTTTATAATTGGGTGATTTAAGAATTTGAGTAGTTTGTTATGTGAGTACAGTGTGCTGATTGTTACAATGTCAAAATTAATTTTCTTTTGTTTATTTTGAGAAGTATATCTGGTATAATCATGTTTATGGTTGCAGATAGAAAAAAAAAATAGCGACAACCAAGAAGAAAAACGATCCTGATATAAGATACCTATGATATTAAAGGCTCCTTTTGTTATTTGTAGGTTACCCTCCCAGTGCTCACACTTGAATTTCAAACCAGAGAATTATTTAAAGAAGTGGATCAACATTAAAAAGGTAAATATAAGACATGGCTTCACACATGTAGTGTATATAGTAAAAATGCAGCACAATTGTTTCATTTAACAGTCTAAATCCCCCCTCCCCTTCCCCCAGCAAAGTTGGGGGGTATCTAGGAATCTCTTTGTCCATCTTACTGTCCATGCAATCTTGTTGGGGCAATAACTTTGTAATGGAGAAGCTTTAAAGGTTCATACTTGAAACAAAGATTGCTTAAGACTTGAGGGTGGTCATGACCACAAATTCAAGGTCACTGGCAGAAAAAAAAATAAAATTCTTGTCTAGGCTATAACTTTGTAATGGAGAATCAATGGAAGCTCATACTTGGTACGAAGATACATGTAGTAAATGACCTGTCTTGAATTTGACCCAAGGTCATAGTGACAGTTCAAGTCACTGGCAGTAAAATTATAAAATTCATGACAGTCTATGTTCCCTAAGTGAAAAACATTGGATGTCTATATTTTAGATTATTTATGACCAGATGATGTGCCTTTTTTTTATCCAAAGTAATTTGGCAACTTCAAGGTCACATTTACAAAATTGCAAATACATGTAGGCACTTTAAAAAATTGCAGTGGGGGTATTATTTTGTGAACTCGCTCTCAATACCTCCAGTTATCTATAATACCGGTAAGCATTTCTGTAAGTTATCTTATGAATCAGATCTATCTTGGATGAACAGGAATATTATATTTAGTTAAGTTTCATACAATGAAATCACAATCTTCTATATACAAACATAAAGACATGTTGCTGCTTGATTTTTTAGCTCACCTCAACGTGTTTGGGGGAAGCCTTTGTAATATCCTTGGCGTCCCAGGTTAAAGTTTTTGGAGCATATGTCTATGCCCTACATTAATCAGAAATGCATGGAAAATGCTTCTAGTATGTTTCCTTGTACCAGTCAAGGTTTCATTTGCTACAGTTTCAGCTATAGAATGACCAGGTTAATGTTTTTAGAGCAGGGTAGAGTTTTTGGAGCAGGTTAAAGTTTTTGGAACAGGTTCGTTCTAAAGTAACTATAAGCCCTATGTTGACCAAACTTGCATGGATGATATATCTAAGGATGCACACTACTGGGCTTACTTTAGAAGCTGGATTTGACCTACAATTTTTGAATGTGTGACCAGATTACAATTTTTGGAGCAGGTTCATTCTAAAGTGACTGTAAGCCCTATGCTAATCAGCTTTGCATTGATTGATTGTATGTTGCTTAACGTCCCATTCGAGAATTTTTCACTCGTATAGAGTCGTCACCTTATAGCGGTGAAGGGCTTCAATTTTAGACCTTTACTCAGCACTCAGGGCTATTGAGCAGTGAGGGTTCTTTATCATGCCAACACCTACCATGACACGGGGCCTTGGTTTTTAAGGTTTTATCCGAAAGACCTGCCAATTTCACTTCACAGTGCCAGCGTTTGGCGAAGGAACAGTTGCTACCTATTTTTTGTCAACTTAAGTCAGTCAAAGCCATGATTAGAACACACAACCTTCTGATCACATAGTGAGCGATCTACCGACTGAGCTACCTGATGGTCGCTTTGCAGTAAAGATAAATTTATTGATGCACACTACTAAGAGTTGCTTTGGATGTGGGATTTGACCAACATTGACCAGGTTAAAGTTTTCGGAGCAGGTCCATTACCAAGAAACTACATATATAATGCCTATCTGAACCAAACTCACACAGATGATGCATCAAGGGATGAACTCTACTATAGTTGTTTCAGATGCCAGATCTGACCTATATTTTCCAGATGAGTGACCAGGTTAAAGCTTTTGGAGCTGACTCATTCCAGTCCATTCCCAAGTAATTGCAAGCCCTATCAGACCAGAATTGCATAATGTTGCATCTAGGGATGCACACTACTAGATTATTAGTTTAGTTGTGGGACTTTGCCTTACTTAAAGTAACATACGTTGAGATGAGCTCTGTAATCTCTGATCACCTCTGTTAACTTTATTAAATGCTTATTCTACCTTATTTTTGAATTTGTCATATAGAAAAAAATGTAAAAATCTTATAGAAGAAAATTCAAATGAAAAATCCCTGGGGCATGGTTGTGTATGGGGTTTGGGGTCCTGTCCACCAAGATACATGTACATAATTCTGTTATTGCAGTATACTGGTATTTGATTTCTGTAAACTGTTTTGCCCTGGTTACTATTTTTAAAACAATGGTTTAAAAAAAAGTTCTTTAAAAATCTCTCAAAGTGCTATTCCTCTTATAGGTTTGTTCTGATTTTATTCAACCATACTGATTTTACTGATGTTACATATCTAATTGTAAAGAACAAGGTTCACTTAGGGCCTTTTTTTAGGCCCTGTAAATTTCTGAAAAAGTGAAACTGCTTTGTTTTAGTTGACAATGCTTTAAATATAATTTAGACTCTTGGTGATTGCGAATCTATTAAAAATGACGTAATTTTCTGGCTAGTAAATGCAATATGACGTCATGAATTGCATCATTTTCCTTATATCCTGAAAAATGCAACAAAATGGCCAATCTTTAAAGCAATTTTTCGATATTTCATATAGAGCGCAACCTCTGAGCTAAAATATGTAATTATCAAATGATAGAACTGTTTCTGAGGATTACAAAACATGTTTTATTTTTTGGATCAAGAAGTGCACTCATATTATTTTTCTTCTCTGAAAGCACTCAAATATACCTCTTTTCCTTAAATTCATTCAACATTGCAATTTCATAAAGCCTGTTTTCCAATACCTGAACTTTCAGGAGAAAATTTTTAATAGGAAATGAAAGCACTAAGTCTCTACTATATCTTGATGTTTGAAATAGAACACAGTGTTATTTTATAAATTGGTATATCTACAGGGCCATTTTATGCATAAAGTGAAACTAGCTCTTACAGGTAAGCTGTTGGTATGTACCATACTACTTTTACTAATGTTACATATACAACTGTAACTTACAGGTAATCTATTGGTACATACCATATTACTTTTACTTATGTTACATATATAACCTTAACTTACAGGCTTTCAGTGATGTAACTTCCCACTATCCCAAAGGAATGAAGGACATGTTACGAGAATTGGGGCTCCCACATAGAGGGCGCCACCACAGCGGGATAGGTAGGATACATCAATATTAGAGCAGGGATATTTCTCAGATCTGTTTATTGTAACACTTAGATCAGTTAGATGTGTAACTTTGCTTTTATAGATGTCATATAATAGAATTGTTTTAAGAAAATAGAAATATATACAGACTAGAAGAAAAAAAAAGATTAATGGCAATAAGTTTTATATCCCTCCATGGACACTAGTGTGTATGGATGATGATATAAAATGAACATAATTTAATTTCAATTGTTTCTTTCAGATGATTGTAGGAACATAGCAGCCATTGCTGAGGAACTGATCAAAAGAGGTCATGTGTTTAAGCAGACATCTTATCCTTGACATCAGATAAAGCACCATCTGCTGGATTAGAGATCAAAGTGTGAAGAAATAACTGCACATGCTCAGGCTCTAGACTGTCTAGATAAACATCAGTGGCAGGAGATTTAAAGTTCTTGCTCTGTGATAAACTATAGCTTGGATCATAATGCTCTGTAAGGAGGGCTTCCACAAACTGAGACCACTGACCACTCTCTCCGAGTGCAATCCATTCACTAAGTTTAGAATTACTGTGATAACTTTTAAGTTTCATAAGTTTTTGTTTTGTAAACTGAAAATTTTCAATATAGTCTGGATAATCTTTCAAGATGTGTTGCACTCTCTTTTCCATTGGGAGGTTTATACGAAAATGCTGAGCTTTTCCCATCTCTGAGTGTAAACTTCGAGGTACATGTACATTGCCTATTCTAACACTCTCTGACTCTACCCACACCACCTTCTCCGGATTAAAAGATTGAAAATTTTCTACTATCTGGGATTCAAACCATTTCTGTGAGGGTTGAGTTCCATTGATTTCTTCCCCCAGAACTGAACCCCTATGATTAGCAATGCCCTCTAGATCCAATACTTGTTCACCAAGAGCAGACAACTTGGATAAAAGAAAGGTTTTTCCAGACCCAGTTGGTCCTAAAAATCAAAAGAAGATCAGACAAACAAAAATACATATTAAGAATAAATAAGTTGCACTAAATGTATATGATTTTCAAACAATTTACGCAATATTCAGTCATTCTAAAACAGAATCTCTACATAATGTGAAATGCATGTACTGTAAATTACTTTTTATTTGCGAAAACTTTATTTTCACGTAATTATGCAAGACAATGTGCTTGCGAAAATTTCATTCTCGTGTTTATTAATAGTATTCCTAAAGATTATATAGAGCAATAACGACAATTTGTGAATATTCTGTCTCGCTAATAAAGAGTCAATGACTATCTTGTGAAAATAAGGTGTCGATAAAATTTAGTGATCTACAGTATTAATATGTTGTTTACCTGATAAAACCTTGTATGTAAATTTTACTGGCATCGTATTTAAGCACTCTTTAACCTTTTCTCTGTAAGTTTTATATCCCTTCTCTAAAACATACACATCGAAACCAATCTGTGCCATCACCATGGCAACACTGTATGACCTTTGACCTCCTCTCCAACAGTAAATCAGGGGAGAGTACTCTTTTGGTTTCTTTATCAGATATTCGTGGATCATTTGACTGATATTTTTAGTCACTAGTTCAGCTCCATAAATTCGTCCTTTAAAAGAGTCCTGTGAATACAACTTGCCAACTTCATGTCTCTCAGTGTCACTCAGAATGGGTAGATTTACTGCTCCAGGAATGTGGTCTTCTCTGAATTCCTTCAGTGTGCGAACATCAATCACTTCATTGACATTGGGGTTGAATGGGTCTGTGGTTATAACTGGTAGTCTGGACTTGGAGAAATGACGGAACTGAGAGAATATAAAGCAGCGAATACCACCTGCAGCTGGGAACACAGACATCTGTAAACATAATAAGACAGTTGATTTAGTACGTGATCAGCTGATCACTAGACAGTTGATTTAGTACGTGATCAGCTGATCACTTTATGCAAAACAATCCTTTACTCATCCTACTTTTGGAAATAACAAATATTGTAGACTGCTTGTTATTGTGAGATATTGACACTCACATTAAAATAACAAATATTGTAGACTGCTTGTTATTGTGAGATATTGACACTCACATTAAAATAACAAATATTGTAGACTGCTTGTTATTGTGAGATATTGACACTCGCATTAAAATAACAAATATTGTAGACTGCTTGTTATTGTGAGATATTGACACTCACATTAAAATAACAAATATTGTAGACTGCTTGTTATTGTGAGATATTGACACTCACATTAAAATAACAAATATTGTAGACTGCTTGTTATTGTGAGATATTGACACTCACATTAAAATAACAAATATTGTAGACTGCTTATTATTGTGAGATATTGACACTCACATTAAAATAACAAATATTGTAGATTGCTTGTTATTGTGAGATATTGACACTCACATTAAAATCTTGAGGAGCATCTATAGCAAAATCTTGAATTTCTTTTTTTACTTCACTCAGCAAATAGTGTAAATCCATTTGCCCCATGGGAGTAATGATCTAGTCAAGCCATGGAGTTTCATGGAGTTTTGTTAGACATAACTGCATCTGCCCAGTTAAAGATTGATTAAAGAGTAATGGCCCTCTGATTTAAATATCACAAAAAAAACCACATGTTTATATATGCTAGTTAGCAAACCAAACTTCTCATAACAACAGTATATTCTTGAAAATAGGCCAAAGGTTTAAGTCAGGTGGACCATAAGGCTAATTTCTTTCGACCTGTCTTATGACAAGCAATGCGCTTGCCAAATAGCACAAACTTACCCCAGAAAAGTCAAAGAATATGTGTATATCTGCACTATGGTGTATTTTGAAAAGTAGGTCAAAGATCAAGTTTAAAGGTCAGGAGGTGGTAACTTTGGTATTCTTCTAAGCAAAACAAATATCAATCCCTACCTTTAACAGTTCTCAAGATATAAGGTGTAACAGACGGACGGACAGACAGACACCAGACAAATTTGATCCCTGAGTGTCACTCTGCTCTGCAGGCAAGTCAATGTTTGCATCTACTAACTGACTATTTTTAGGTCTCCATTATTAAACTCGGGTAAGACAAATGTCACAGGTGGTGAAAAATCAAGTCTCAACTGGGACTCAAACTCCGGGCCTCTGGTGTACCATGCCAGCACTCTAACCATTGAGCTATTAAGACCCGATATATTGGCTGACTTTCACACACCTGTGACCCCAGTGACATATTCCTCCTTTTTGCAGAAATTCGTCCTCGAATTCTATGAGATAAGGAAATGCTGTGAGGCATTTTTCAAGGGAATAATGGGTATTTGTACATTAGGTGCCAAATGTCACAGGTGGTGAAAAATCAAGTTTCAACCGGGACTATTTGTAATAATAAATTTTTTTTGAATTTTGAAAAGGATTTTTCAAAATTAATTCAAAATTTTCTACATTGCATGTCATGTAATATTTTGATGAACTTTTGTGTCACCTGCAGAGCAGAGCAACACTTAGGGATCACTTTACCTGACATTTTCTGTCACACCTTATATCTTGGGAGCTGTAAGGGTTATGGGTTTGATATTTTGAACATGTATTGCTAGACACTAAAGCTTTTGTAAAATACCATGGTTACTAACCTGGTGATCTTTCATATTGACCTTTGACCTCCTTTACAAAATTGTTCCTATTGCCAATATACAGCATATTTTGGACATTTGAGAGGTAAGAATAAGCTATTTAGCACGTGAACTGTTTGTCATAAGACAAAGACAGAAAATACCACCATTAATGTCCACTTGACCTTGACCTTTGACCTACTTTTCAAAAATACTCTGAATGCTTAATTCATCTATGTCTAGAATTTTGAGAGACACATATATACCTACATGTAGCATATATATTACATGTTTATGAGCTCATGACACTGTACTTTTAAACCGTTTTATGTATAGTGAAACAAAGTGAATTTCAAAATACTATGAAAATACATCCAGATCTGTATACTGAAATGGATCATACTTCAAAGAAGTTGTAGACTAGCTGACAAATGCAGTAAAGACAGACTGAAATTTCTTTCCAGTTATGAGTCTGAGGTATTGTTGAATTGAATAATAGCGAGCTCTTAAAGCAATGCCTGGGTGAAGAGAAAAATTCGGACTTTGCACATTGATCCAAACGAATTTTTTTCCCCAATAACCTGTGGTCCCATAATGCTTTGCGAATTGCATCTCACCAAAACTACGTTCTTGCAGTCGCAACAAAAGTTCAACAAAAAAATAAAATCACATTGATTTAATAGATATTGCAGAAAAAACAGTAGATTAAACATTCTTCATTAAAACTGACGCTGTTCAGGCTAAGATTTGTTTATGCAACTTACATACGACGTCATGTGATGTCAGAGTCTAGATGTACCAAATGTCGCGTGCGGTTTGAAGAGACAATGTAAACCAAAAACTGTATAGGTATCTGCGGTCACACCGTAAACATATTAGAATGCATAGATAATTATTTCTAATGATTTCAATGTCATTATTCATTTTAGCTTTGAGGTTGAATAAATATTCCGAATCAAATTTCTGTTTGATTATCACACTTTATGATAAATACTATTCTATTGCAGTCTTAAAATCCATGGATATTTTTTTTGCAGGCAAATGCAGGAGCTATAATAGTTATGTGCAAATAAATAGCTGATCACACATACATTCCTTTATATCATTAATGATGCTATACCAGGTGACACGTGCGTTCCTTGGAACACTCTACTGGTAACTCACTAGATCAATATTGATACATGTAAGTCTGCCAAAAGTAAGGCATTTGTGTAATTTTATTATATTCTGAAGTGCTAAAATTATTTGTAATTGAATAAGTTCCACTTGAAAAGTTGTTGTTTCTGTATTATTGGAATAAGTCAAATTTATTATCATCAAATGTCATACCTTAGGAACTGTTTCTTCGCATGTCCTTAACCCGAATTTCCTTAAATATGAACCGGAAAAAGATTGAAAAGATTGAAGAGTGCTAAAATCAAATCCACTTCTGATTTGATGTCGAGTTCCGGAAAAGTTCTTGTAAGCTCAAGATTTAAAAAAAAGTGGTTTATCTTTTTTAAAAATTTCGATGTGATTAAATTTCTCTGAATATATTTTTAAACATGTTATTGTATTTTATTATATTAAAATCTGTTTTTAATCAAAGTCGAATAAGTTGTGGAAAGAACTGTTGTCTTCCTTTTGCCACGAAGTACATCCGGGAAATTTTATGAAAAGCAGACAGATTCAGATTGTGGATAACTTTGCAAAGGTTCCTTAGAAGACAAAGTGACCAGTTAAAGGTACATTAATTTCTACGATGTAATAGATCTTCTACCAAGTGGTTCTTCGTCCTCCTTCCACAATATCTCTATTAGGCACGTGGAATGCTGATAACAAGCAAATCAGATGCCGCATATTTCAATTATTGATTTCTCTTGCATGAATGATAATGAGAATATCCAAACATTTCACTTCTCTTGCATTAAGGATGTCTTAAATTCATGCACTGAGTGAATGTTGGTTTTGGAACTGTAGGTTCCAACAAAAACATTTAATGTTTCGTAAGTCATCACACATTGCAAATCAGTTAATCTTTTTTTAAAATAAATATTATTGAATGAAATGATGTCTGTATCCTATGAAGGATTTCTGTTGGTCCTAAGATCTGTTGTGTTTTTATAGATGCTTAGGTTACTTTTCACTCCCCAATGTGCCAGAACATGGTAGATGCAACTTTATTACAAGTGGCATGTTTACTTGACTTGAAGGCACACTTGCATGCTTATTATCCCCTCACAACAGAGATGGAGGGAATAAAGTACTGTGACTGTGTGGGTGAATGTGTGCATAACAGAAGTGACATTATTTGCACCAGGATCAATGTACAATGCTGCTTTTATTTATACATAATTTTTAATTTATTCACTGAGTTGTTTGCAATCAGATAACTTTAAACAGGGTCCTCTCTAGGATTTTGCTAACTTGAGTCCCAGGACTCAAGACTTCTGAAAAGGTTGCATCCCAGCTAAATTTGATGTGTCCCAGAAAAATTATGTGGAGTCCCAACTAAATTATTCCAGTATCCTTCCATCCAAACATCAATAAAAATCTTTATTATTTTATAAATTTGTTTATGCAATATTAACATATTCAAATATATAAACTGGTAATGCATTCAAGCCATATTCTAAAATACATGTGTAATCAATTGCCATAAAAATTAACTTGGTGTTTAAGGTGTTTATAAAGCTAAAATTAACTGTTTCATAATCAATTAGTACCCAAAAGTTGACTGTATACAATCACAGGTGTCATGTGCAATGAGGCGTAACTAATCCTGACGGTCATCTGCACTGGGTGAAATTCATGAGATAATCAAGCCGCATTGTGTAAACAAGCAGTAATTATGGTTTCTAGATAGAACTCAAGATTTAAGAGTGTTTTTAAAAAAAGCTGCAGTGTGTTTATAGCTGTTGGAGTTTGGCATGCAACACTATTATGACTATGGACAATTAAACATGAAATATCTTATAATCAATCCCTGTTTAAAAAAAAAAAGAGAAATAGGTACAAGAGAAGTTGTTTCTTGTATAAACTTTGATATTTACAGGAAGGTTTCGATTAAATATTTCTTTGACAAATTCTAACATCTAAATTCTCCGTTTTCGAAAACACCCGAATTTTCTCACTACTTGTAACAAGGACACATCCACTCATGAGTCTGCGGACGCATCATTTTTAAGAACCTTGTGTCCCAAGAAATTTTGCTGCGTTTAGGACGCAGATTCTTGCGTTAATGAGAACCCTGTTTAAAGCATACAGTTTAAAAGTACAGTGGCATGAGCTCGTAAATATGTGATACAAATGCTAATACTTTATATCGCGATTACTTAACTTAACCAAACTCTTTTTCATTGTATCTTGGAAACATCGATTAGCTTGGGGCATTGTGCTATTGAACACACTTTGAGATCAATCACTGTAGATTTTTAAAGGACATATAAGAAAGAAGTCCTGGTGAAATATTTTGCTAAATGTTCGGTGCACCAAATAAAAATTTAGGAGATGCTAGATCTCTTGTGTTACATTTTTGTTGATATTTTCCGCAAAGGTGACTCTTCAAATAATAAATTCAAATTAATAATAAATTCTTTCTGACAAAGGTTACTTTTGGAAGTCTAAACATTTGGAATGATGACTTACTTTTTGAGTAGTTAGAATAATCTAACTGTGTCTTGGGACAAGCCCTCACCACAGTTAGAAGACGTCCCATATACTTGCAATGTAGCAATGTAAAAAGACAGTTAAATCAACCATCTGTAGTATTTTTGTAAAGTAGGTCAAAGGTCAAGTAGACTATTATGCTGGTATTTTTTCATATGTTTTGTGGCAGACAGTGCGTATGCTAAATAGCATAGACTAACCTCATAAATGTCAAAAATATGCTGTTTATTGGCACAATGAACTATTTTGAAAAGTGGGTCAAAGGTCAAGTTAAGGGGTCATGAGGTCGGTAACCATAGTATTTTAGAAAAGCCAAAGTATCATGCAATATATTTACAAATATCAAATCCATACCAAGATCTTACAGTTCTCAAGATATAGGGTGTGACAGAAGGTCAGACAGATGAGTAGATGGACAGACAGACACAAGGTAAAGAGATCCTTAAGTGATATATGTGGATTTTCATGTAAACAAAGGGTTTGTGTGGGGTTATTTTAAAAAATTCACGAAATGCAATGGTTTGTTGTTTAGCATGGAACACTTTTTGAAATTGTGTGGAGATAAATTTTGCGAAATTTTACTAATTGCAAAATTCACAAACATTTCCCCCATGTTTACAGTATGCTTTGCTGTATAATTATCTTGGGAAAATGGGCACTGAAATTTTCTGAAACATCCGCTTACAGATTTAATTTTTTTTTTGGGGGGGGGGGGTGTTTCTCGTTTTGCACACTTTTTAGCTCACCTGAGCTGAAAGCTCAAGTGAGCTTTTCTGATCACCTGTTGTCCGTCGTCCGTCCGTCCGTCCGTCTGTAAACTTTTCACATTTTCAACTTCTTCTCAAGAACCACTGGGCCAATTTTAACCAAACTTGGTACAAAGCATCCTTGGGTGAAGGGGAGTTTAAATTGTTAAAATAAAGGGCCAAGCCCCCTTCCAAGGGGAGATAATCAAGAAAAGACAAAAATAGGGTGGGGTCATTAAAAAATCTTCTTCTCAAGAACCACTGGGCCAGAAAAGCTGAAACTTATGTGAAAGCATCCTGGGGTAGTGTAGATTCTAAATTCTTAAAATCATGACCCCCGGGGGTAGGGCGGGACCACAATAGGGAATCCAAGTTTTACATTGAAAAATGTAGAAAAAATCTTTAAAAATCTTCTTCTCAAGAACCACTGGGCCAGAAAAGCTGAAACTTATGTGGAAGCATCCTGGGGTAGTGTAGATTCTAAATTGTTAAATTCATGACCCCCGGGGGTAGGGCGGGGCCACAATAGGGAATCCAAGTTTTACATTGAAATATGTAGAAAAAATCTTTAAAAATCTTCTTCTCAAGAACCACTGGGCCAGAAAAGCTGAAACTTATGTGGAAGCATCCTGGGGTAGTGTAGATTCTAAATTGTAAAAACCATGACCCCCAGGGGTAGGGCGGGGCCACAATAGGGAATCCAAGTTTTACATTGAAATATGTAGAAAATATCTTTAAAAATCTTGTTCTCAAGAACCACTGGGCCAGAAAAGCTGAAACTTATGTGGAAGCATCCTTGGTTAGTGTAGATTCTAAATTGTTCAAATCATGACCCCTGGGGTAGGGCGGGGCCACAATAGGTATTACAAGGGGGAAATCGGGTGAAAAACAGCAAGGCCAAAGTTACTCAGGTGAGCGTTGTGGCCCATGGGCCTCTTGTTTTTGGAAGTAGCAAAATGCATACAAAACAGAATTAAACCATTGCAGTGTGTCAATAAGCATTAAATGGATTATGGATAAGTTATAAATATGTAATCTTCCAGATTTGCATGTTTTAGAGTTGAATTGTACCATTTAACTTTTTAAATGAAGTCACAAGCATCATCAGCTTGTTTAACGAAGTCTAAAATGCTAATGATTAACATTTTGTAATGAGCAAGGAAATTGTGGGTGGAAATATTACTAAATATTTGCTAATCATTATAGTGTTACATAGGAAATCAATATCATTATAAACATGATCTCTAGGTAATTCCATTTGATCAATAAAGTGGACATCCATTGTAAACTGAGTAAATAATCTAAAATTCTGAGATCATTGATTCAAGTTTTTGGGTAATTGCTGTTGAATGACCAATTATCAGGCAATTTTTGCATGAATAAGTCATTGCAACATTTGCATTATTTAAACATGACTGATTTAGCTATTGCTCTGACAATACCCTTTATCATAATAATAAAAAAAGGATTATCATATGCAGATACTAAGAACAATACAGGGTGTACCCACACTAAATACAAATTAATCCACTTTATTTAAACCCTGTTTTTCTATGGGGAGTTTTAGGAAAGTATATCGAGTACAGGAAAATATCACTGATTCATGAAGTGTTATGAAAACACTTTTGTAATTAAGTATATTGCAATGTGTTAATGTAATTACACATTTTTATGAAGAAGCTAGTTAAGGACAATGCCTAGACCCCCCTCTTTGTTTACTGTCCAGATTATGACAGGTAGTAGCTGATGTTGAATGAAGAGATTATAGCAGGTAACAGTTAGGTGTTAATTTATGACTGGTCATAGTGACACTGTCTTAGACCAATTGGATCAGTTACCCCGAAATACCCCCCTGTCTTATACTAGTGCAGTCTGGGAGTATAGTGGTTATAGAAAGCATCGGAAACTGTTCAGCCACTAGATGACAAGCTGCGATAGAATGGTTTATTGATC